ACAGATTTCAACCTATATATACCAGAATACATGATTCCTGATAGAGATCTGTTATTACCTGTTTCTATTGCCTGTTTTTTTCAATTGTATATTAGGTTTAAAAATCAATCGTATTAAAGAATTCTACAACAGTTGCGAAGCTGCTTTTTCTGCTGAACCCAATTATTTGTTGATGTTACATTACTTTTGATGTCATACTGAGAAAAATTTTTGATTGAAAATAAACAATTCACAGAAAATTCTAATCATATCAATCAGAATTCTGATTGCCCCATTTAGAATTATAATAGAATTGTAATATACACATATATAATTCAATCAGAATTTCAATTAATACAATCAAGCTTTCCAATGCTTTATTATTGATGTTACTTTTAGTTGGTGTTTACTGGGGAGTTAACGAGTTTTAATGTAATGATAAATAATATCATGTTTCATGGAACGTCACTGGGAAAGATATTGACGTCGCGAACGGGATCGAAGAGTCGAGATCACTTTTAAGCGTCATCCTCAAGAAAACGCCGCGTGTTTTATTTCGGGTGGGCGCTTCGAATCACGTGCTATCGGCAACTACTTCTATTCGAATCTCACTCAGTGGTTCCCACCGGGATCGTCGACAGATCGCTGGCAATCCTCTCACGTTATCTCGATGATCTGCTCAATCGGCGCGTCGTGATCTATGGAAATCGATGGCAATCAATTTCCATCGACAGCGAGAAATGGCAGGCTTTCCTTCCGGTTACACCACGTTATATCCACCGCTTGAAACGAACATGTATACTTGAACCGTTCGGAATGATTTCGGGAGAGAAAGATAAATTGTAGGGATTTAATTCGTAATCTATATTTATTACAGCCGAAAAAGCGCCTTTAAAATCACGTTGATTTATATATTAATTGAGAATCTCCGGAATCTCATCTTTCTCAAGAAACCAAGCCAGTATTTCTTCCTAATTGATAATATTGATCAAATGTCTCGTAGTGTCGTGGTCGTTATTTAAAAGCACGTTTTCTACGAAAATTTTCACGGAGCCACGATTTTGCCAAACACAAAGTTAAAATTAAAGCCTAATTATAACTAATTAATTTAATTAACGTTGCTAATTATTTCACATTTCATTTCATTGACGCGCTTTCTTTCTGTAACAACTGTTGTGATAGACAATGATTTAACAAAAGCTCTAGCAATAACAAACAAATCAATAACATAACGATGCTATCACAAAAATGCTATATCAAGTATATATATATATATATAATATAATACTGAAAAAAGCAACTTATTTTATTTTAATATATCTATTATTAAAGAATTGTATTTGCCATGTATTACATATTCCCAAAAACTATTGGAGTAGTAAATCTGATTCTAAAAAGAGTGAAATCCCGTTCTTAAAGATTGAAAATTGGAACTCTTTTTCAAGACTGGTTCAGTTTTAATTCTTTAGAATGAAATTCCACTTCAAAGAATTTAAAAAGTAGTTGAGACCGAAAACAGAAACAGGATCTTCAACGCTAACAAATACGTTTTCTTTTGTTGTGCCAAAACGGAGCTTCTTCCGTTGACACTGACACTAAATTCCGATTATTTCTCTACGTAACTCCGTTGACGTGGATTCGGTAAGCGTAAAATTGACGCAATGAGGGACAGCCCGAAGTTGCGAAACGCAGGCGAGCGACGATAGCGGAAGCGTCCAGTTAATATCGCAAAAAGTTTGCAACTTCGCGCAACGAAGATGGCTTGCGTTTCTTTATCAAAACTACTTGCAACTCGTTCGGATATAAATAAGACCGTGACTCGATGCTCTTATCGCGTCATATCGCCGTCTCACCGTTCCCTGTCAGTGCGATTAAGTACGACCTTAACCCTCTCGCGAGTTCGCCTCCGCAGCACCCTTTCGCCGACCGTCCTCCCACGAAGGAATTTTATACCCATGGAAATAATTATAGAGCGACTTGTCGAGTGACGTGGTAGCTTTTCTCAACCACGTAAAAATTTATTATTTGTGTACGAGGTGTGTCTCAAGAACTCATGATTGGCGTAACGTTGGATTCAATGAATTTGAAGTCGATTTTTTCGTGGTAAAAATATCAATAATTTTAAACCAAGCGTTTGAAAACGCAACTTGAATCTATGTACGAGCACAAAATGTTCTTTAATTAATTTTAAAAGGAATTTACTTATATCAAATTTTAATACAAGTACAATTGTAAAAGTATATATGTAAAGAAGAGTTTTTTCGATAATTTCCCAATTTTTCGTATTTTACATAATTACATACCTTTATTTACTTGTATCAAAATTTTATGATTTTATAATTTACGACATAATGGAATGTATGGCTAAGTGTTGAAACTCTCGAAATTTAGAAACGAAATTAAGAAAGAAAATTGTATATCGAATGTACACTCGAATTTTCAGTCTTTTTCTGTTAGTCATTTTTCCTGAAACGTTTATCTCGGCGTTGTCGGTGAGAAGAGTCGGCTCTCGTCGCAAAACTGTCCCCTTCTCCGATCTGTTAACTCCCCTCTGGTATCCTCTCGCACCTCGCCGCGCCTCGACGATGACAGTGAACTAGAGAGAGGCGCGATGCACGGCACAGTGGTGCGCCGGTAGCTACGGGAGAGGGAAAAATTCAATGAGCCTGTAAGGAGGTCGGTTATTTTCTTGCGAGCCAGAGAGAGAGAGAGAGAGCACTCTCGAAGTTCACTGACGTCTCGTGGCGGCGGTCGGTTGATTAAACTCTTTGCCATCACGTCAGTCTTCCTCTTATCTTGTCACCCCTCAAAGCAGCGTTGCTTCGTGATCGATCTTTACCAGTCGAAGATTGGAAAAAAAGGAATTGTTCGATAGATATTAGCTACGCTTTGTCCCTTACAAAGTCTAAAGTTTTTATCACATTATTTGCAGAGATTGCAAATTGGAGATTATAATTTTATCTGTTAAATAACTTCAGTTTACATCAATACCTTTTCTATAAATGGCCAGACGGTAAAATTTTAGGTTTTATGAACTAAGAGAATATTATATACATATGTATATAATAGAGAATATTAGATAATAATAAAAGGAAAAACGAATTTCTGCAAATTTTTTATTGGTGAAATTCAAAATATAATAATTATGCGAATCATAATTTGTCGACTTCTCAGTAACGGTCGTGTAATTTTTTTCTATAAGGCGGAAAAGTGAAAATTTTATCATTGAAGGTAATGGAGAAATTTGTCACTCTTAATGTTTTCACTCTAGGAAAAAAATTACACGGTCACTGCCCTGGTTGTAGTGCACTGTCTCGTTGGATCGAGTTTTATAGCGTTTTCCACTGGGAAAACATGCAACACTTGTGCAATTGAGTGCAAATCGGTTTATGTATTTTCGGTGTTAATAAATAATTTAATCTTTTTAAAGTTATGAGGTTAACGTGACGACAAAGAATATGTAATTAAAAGGATCAAATTATTTATTAAGCTGAAAATATGTGAATTGATTTGCATTCAATTGCACTCAGTGTGCATCAGTGTTACACTAGTTTTCCCAGTGGAAAATGCTTTGATCAATTTCCAATTTCCAATCCTCGCTCTCCAACGTGCTGTTTGATACGTGTATATTTCCCTTAATTAAATGTAGAAAGCTGAGAGAGAGGAAAACACATAGATTTATTGATGAATCATCCTCCGCCTGACCTTATGTGCGGCTTGCGCTAAGGGGTACAACACGCCCCAGAAGAGGGAGCCCCTTTTAACCGGCGTCCCCTGTCGCCACCCCGTTAGGATATCGACCCAGGAATTGCATCCTCTGCGTTCTCGTCGGCCACCCTCCAATCGTCGCGTTTCTCGCAGAACTCCCCTCGCACTCCGATTCATATCCGCTACGTTCCTTCGGTCATGTGGAACGAGCGGCGATACATTAGTACGGGTGTCGGCTATCGAGGACGTCCGTATTTGAATCTCACGTCATAATTAACGACCACGAATCCGCATCGCGAATATTCATTTGCTTCCGCGAAATTCGAGCTGACGCTGTGCGACGTCATTTTAATAAGACTGAACGTCGCTTATAATAATTGAACAGCCGGGAGGAATCTCGTACAAAAAATGTCCGCAATTTGGATGTAACTTCAATAATCATTCAAATTTTTAATATAATATTTATTATGATTAGAAGACGTAGTAATTTTTATCTCTAATCGAATGCTGTAACTTTCAAAATATAGATGTTTGTACAACACGGAAGATCAAGTGGTCACCCTTTGAGTGCCAATTTCACTTTCATACATTTGCCAAAACTGAGGGAAAATTTGTAGCAATGTGGAATATCAGATTTGTATAGATACACTGAAAGAAAAATAATATATAGTAACAGCATTATTTTAATTGAAAATAATTTTCTTAATTCATAACAGTATTAATGAAACAAATAAAATATATTTGTGAAATATTATAATATTTATTTTATAATAAATATATAATAAATATAATTTGTTAAATATGTCATACTCAACAAAATTATTTTCAATTAAAATAATGTTGATATAACGGATTTTTTTTCAATATAAAATAACACAAGTTGACAAAAAATTCAAGAAAAAGAATTTCTTATAGCTCTTTTTGATGTTCGATAGGATCACCAAAGTATTTGGCCACAAATTTAAAATTGATTCGGACGATCATTCTCTTTTGTAAGTTTAGATATTTTTATTGAATGATACAATTTAAAAGTTGAGATTGCAAGATGTGAGAATACAAGGTAAAAGTATTCCGGCCGTTTTCTTTAGTCCGTTTGTGTCCTAATACTAAGGTAATCCGGCACAGTCGTATTTCACGAATTTCCGCGATGCGGAGTGAAAAGACGACCGGCTGAAAGTTCGTAGCGCGCGACACGTGCCTGAGAGCCAGAGGATAACTTTAGAAGTGGATCGTCGGATCTCTTTTAGCGTTGGGATTCGCGCGTGGGAAGAATTTATTTCGGTAGCGCGTCCCCCACGTATTTTGCCCGCGAAATGGGCTTAAACGGCCCGACTGACACGGCAGCGCGCGACGTGTGCCGATTGCTGAATGCCGATGTTATCATGTTGACGCGAGGTGGTCCTACTGATCCAATCAACCTGACCATTGTAGAGCGACAGTCAATCGAACGATGAAATTCATGCGATTTTGTGTTCAGTTCATCACTGACAGATGTCAACGGATATATTCGTGGTTCTATATATTCAATCCCCTTCGTAATAAAACAACCTTCGAGCGAAATGAAATATTATCGATAAAAAAATATCTCAGAGATTTTTCCTTAAATTGATAAGAAGGTATAAAATACACGCGATAATACATCAATACGTTAACGTTTCAAAAATGTCAATAAAACATCGTAATCACTTATCTCATTTTTTTTTCGCTTTCTAACCACAATAATTTATATTGTTTACGTTTGTTTTATTAGGCATCTGGAGTAACAGTCGCGGACGTTTGCAAGACAACGTACGAGGAGATAAAGAAAGACAAAAAGCACCGATATGTGATTTTCTACATCAAAGACGAAAGACAGATAGATGTCGAAGTCATCGGACCTCGCGACGCGGCTTACGACGCTTTCCTTGAGGATTTACAGAAGGGCGGTAGCGGAGAATGCCGTTATGGCCTGTTTGACTTTGAATATACCCATCAATGTCAGGGTACTTCCGAGGTAATTATCTGATCATATCTATTTTCGTATAAACTAATGATATGTACATTAAAAGTATTGTTAGTCCGATAACAAATATTATTTTAAAGGTATATTATTGTGTGTTATTCTTTTCTTAGGCATCCAAGAAACAGAAATTGTTCCTGATGTCGTGGTGTCCCGACACGGCCAAGGTTAAGAAGAAGATGTTGTACTCGAGTTCCTTCGATGCTTTGAAAAAGTCGCTGGTTGGTGTGCAAAAGTATATACAGGCGACAGACTTGTCGGAGGCATCCGAGGAGGCTGTCGAGGAGAAACTTCGAGCTACCGACAGGAATTAGGAGTATTCCAGCAAAACCCAAAACCACTATTACGAGATAAGAAAAAAGAAAATCAAGTGGAATACAGTACATCGCGAATTAACTTCCCAGAAACAAAAAAAAACAATGCTCTATACTGTCGTTGCATCGAGGGTTCACGTTTTTACACATTTTTCACTTTTAAACGAGACCGATTATCAAGTATTTTGCGCTACATATGTTAGTCATCATGGGAGCGAATATTATAGCAAAAGTAAACAGACGGAAAAAAAGGAAGGAAAAAAAACAAAGGGTAAGCATCCCTTTTCATACTGCGGACGTTGTGTGAATCTGTCTAATATTAATATTATACTATATTATTATATAATTATAAGGTAATTGTACAAGAATACAAAACAATTTACAACCAGTCAAGCAGTAAGATCCAGAATTATTACACTTTTTTTCTCACTGGCTGTACAACATTTAAATTAAATTCATTTCATTATAACTCCTTATGATGTCCTGTCAGTAAAACCTATTGTATCTCAACATTTTCGCATGTTTATTTTGACACCGAGACTATTTGCGAAAGGTACGAGTAAGGAAATAAACTATGAGAAAAATAGAACGAAAGTATTGGCCGATAATGCAGCATTTGTAGAACTTTCCGAGACAAATTGTACGTAAAGCAAAATTTCTGCAACTAGTCTCGACTGACGATATTGTTTCCAAGTGGTAAAAGGCAGGTTCCGAACTATGCAACAGAGTTTACCGACGAAATTAATTCGCAAATTATTAATACTTATTTTTATATCGTTTTAATTATACAAATTATTCGCAAAATTGCAGTAAAAATTTTAAGATGAAATCACAAAACAGTAAAAATTTATAATTTTTTTTTAATATTATGACTAATGATTGTTCACAGAGAAATAACCAACCGTGTACGAATGATACTGTAATCTTCGTTAGTGAAAATGATTCATTGATGCGCAAACATGACTGATAACGATAATATTTAACAATAGCCGTATCATATACGCATAAATTACAACAATCTACTTTATATTCTCTGCATTTTATACAACATTAGTTAAATCTATCGCGTGTTATGATTAAAGTACATAGCGTACTTAATATCAACGATAAGACCTGCGATTGATTATAAATCGATCCGCTTGCATCCGTTGTCAGAAGATAATGTTGCGACATTGAAGAGAGCTGTATGACTACAAACAGATAACACAAGTTATTAATCTTTAACAATCACTAACTATTTTATTTTGTAAAACTTAATTCTTTTCCTCTGTATTCTCGCACATATTTTACGAATCGTAATTCTGCTTACGAATAACGTGAGATGATATATTTATCATGGTATTCTTTCCTATAAAATTTTAACAATCCTCTTTAAAGGAAATTTATTTAATCTTAATTAAATAAGTTCAATATTTGATATTGTGTATAGATATGATTTTTTAATATGTTGGGACATGTATGTCCCATTGGACATAAAAGAACAAAACTAAGTTAAATAAGTAACATAATTATAATTATCGATTAAAAAGATAATTTTTGAATTTTCAAGATGTTAAGTAATGAGATAGGAAAATTCTAACAATTATTTTTGTATTTAATCCAAAATAAAAGGTCACGATATAAATAAAAATTTTTAATATAGTTTAGTATGATCGAGGATATAAGAGGGATTAAGATTAATTCTTAACAATTAGCTAAAAGAAAAAAGATTGAAATAGAACTGTCAGATTTACCTGCTATCCTGTTCTGCTCTTGATCACCATCCATCTCGGAATTTTCGCTGGAATCGACAGCTGCAACGTGCAAAATAGGACACGATATACTATTACATACGACCCGAGTTTCCTCTCACGGACATATCTTTCCTCGCATCGCTGTGTCGCGCGCGAGCGCGAAATAGAAGGAACGAGAGGTAGGAGGCAGCGGATATATGCGAACGACTTATCTTTATTACTTACGAGCTCCTTCGGTGTGAAAGCGCAGTATCTCCGAAGGGTGGCTCCATCCGTAACGATTTCTGGACAAAACGACCGCCTCGTAATAGGTTGCCGCATCCAATCCTGTCAGATTGAAGGAGCGAACGTGCACCGGGCTGATTTCACCGCCGCCAGCAGGAATATACAATTTGTGCCATTCACCGCCACCATTCTTCTACGACGTATTAAAAGATAGATCCATAAAAATCCTCGATCGATGAAATCGATTTTTAAAGGGCACAGAAACGCGATCCAGAAGAGACTAATCTGTTCTATATAATATTATTATATTGTTTTATTATATAGTTATATGATTATTGCACAAGGATGAAAAATTTACAAGTTAAACAGTGAGAACAGAATAATTATATTTTTTCTCATTGGCGGTAAAGTATTTAAATTAAATTAATTTCATTATGATTTCTGATATTTTGTCAGGAAAACTCATTACATTGCCAACATTTTTCACATTTTCTGTAAATTATTTCGAGGCCGAGACGACTTGAAAAGCACGATAAAATGAAGGAAATGAATTACCCCTCAAAAGAAGGAAAAAAATATTAGCTGATAAAACAGTTTTCAATCTTCGTAGAGCGCGCCGAGACAACCCAACAAATATTTTGTTACTTCAATATTCTGCATTTCGCTCTGCACTTCCGGCATCTCTTTTTCACCTTATTGCGGATTCAGACAACGTTTAAAGTAAGAAGCGTATTTTATAACTGAAGATTCTAGTAATAAGCCGGTCGGGCATTGCCTTTTGCTCAATTATTCCTGCGAGCCCTTGCATGCGCGGCAGCAATCAGAATCGTAACGCGAACAACACACGAAAACCACGAACTGGATCCCACGCCTCATTTAGAAGAGGACGAAATGTCGAATTTGAGGTATCGATTTATAGTTCGCACCGATTTTCAGATTTCGATCGATAAAGACCGAAACGGGGCTCTTTATTGATTAACTATAATTCAGCTATGAACGAATTCTTACCATGTATCTGCGAAACCAAAACTGATATTGGATGATAGAACTGTAACTGTCGACGACCCAGATAAAGTTATACGACGTGCTAGACGCGCTGCCAGATTCTTTCTTGAACACTGCCGGATTCGCGATCTGCGATAATTCGATGATCTTCTCGGTGATTCCCATGGAATTTGATGCTCTGCATGTATAGGAACCGGAATCGTTTGACGCTACGTATCTTATCAATAGACTGTAATTATTCTCGGTGTTATATTTCACTATCCGCGACGTGTAGTTTATCGTTTTGTTGTTGAAATACCATTCAACCTAAAAGAAAAGAGACGAGTGCAAAATTCTCATAATTTGTCGAAACGTTAATTTTTACAATTTTTCGATGTACGATGTTGGTAACATTATTCCACTCGAATCGCCGAGTGCTATAATAACGCAATTCTCCCTGACTCGTTCGGTCCTTTTTTTGCGAAGAAGTAAAAAAAGTACAGTAAGTCACGTGCCCTACGAATCGATTTGTCACGTGCGACTAGCTTTAAAGGATCACGGTGAGAAATTGCTTGGTAGATAGGAGGGGCGGTTTCATTTAGTTACCAAGCGTGAAGAACTCGTTGAAATCTAAAAGACGAGTTGCCGTATTGCCAGAAAAATATTTCGTGTTTATATTGGTACGTCGAAACCCGCCGATCGATCGTATCGTTTCGGATGCTTCGTTATAGTAGATGTAAGAGGGAACATTTTTATCGCATATTAAAGTTTCGGAATTCGGGACGGGAGAGCGTAAAAATTTATTTTTACAATATATTATACGTGAGAGCTATCGGACCCCTGTTTTATCTTTTCAAAGTATTTTACGTTATTTTGTAGTTAATAAGGGTGCGGAGATTATTCGACCGAAGCAAGTAATCACGTGTATACAATTTCGCATTGGCCTCGAGAGAGGACAGAAAGAGAGAGAAAGAAGGGAGAGACGAGGTCTTCATTCTTGCAGAAGTGAATTCCATCCGCATTTATTTTTCGACTTGCTTGTTTCTTGTGGAAAATCCTCGATTTAAGGAGGTTGTAAGGGCATAAAACACATATACCTATGTGATACGTATATGAGGTAATATTTTTCGCAATAAGAATTAATTATTTACAGATTTTAATGTGTTATTCAACATTATTAAGATTGTTTCGAAGATGCGAATAAGCATCAAATATTTGTTAAATTGCTAGTCAATTTAACTCGTGATATTACTGCGATAGTTTAGTAGAGTTAACGTTTTCAAGAAAAATCATTTCGGCGCGCGTTTCTGAGGACTACATACGTATTATATAAATTCACACAAGAATCATACAAGCATTTAAGATCCAGCTAGATCGTTTAAAGCTTTAATTTCTATAGTTTGTGTTATATAACATATATTAATATTTACGCTTTAAACAAACTACATGTGAAAGTTGTGTTCATAATATTCTGTTTTCATTGAGCAACACATTTTTATAGATTATTTATTTTATTTGATATTAATTTTATTAGTTATAAACAAAAATTTTTTTAATATTAACGAAAATCTAAATTTTTTAATTTAAATATTTCAAATACCAAAAATGACTTGTGCAAAATTTCATTGAGATTCACCAATTAGTTTATAACAAATAAATATTTTGTTTATTTACTTAACAATTAATGTCTGCATCTCAATGTAACTTTACATAAATATTTTTGAATTCATAAAGTACTTACATAAAAAAAAATTGAAATTTTTATCATTATTTTATAATACATTTTCGTATATTTCTATTGAAAATTTAAAAAATGTTACTTTTTATAGACATAACTTTTGATCCAGATGGTCAACTGTCTCTAATATTTTTGCATTACTTTTAAATACAATTTAGAATAATCTGTAATTTTTCCAATAATTCTTAACATATTGCATTTGCCTTACAACCTCCTTAAGGGTTGCTCTTCAATATGCGGTCAAAGTTTCACTACAAATGCTTCAAAGCATCTGCTTTAACAATCGAAAGAAAGAATGTTATTAATTAACCAATTAAAAAATGTTGCAAAGTATTTGTAGTATCATGTTGACCCTCAGAAGTATATCGAAGAGAGA